TCTTATATTTCATAAAGTTTTATTTAGGCTCTTATTGCTGAAACCTATTTGCTTATGATTTCAGTTTTTGTATTAGTTAACCGATGGATTTAACTTTTTGATTTGTTTCTAGTTGGGGATTAAGATTCTACCTAGTAGTTAAGCATGTTGCCTTAGTTGACACTGTTGATTGATTACTCCCACATTAATTTAGGACTATTTTTGGTCTCATATTTAGCATTATAATTTGCCAATGTAATGAATCTCACTTATTCTATCTTTAAATAATTCATCCTAAGCTGTAATTACTAATAATCAGGTTCTAACTTGCAAGGGATATTGGAGATATAGTTTGCTAATTAATTGGAAAGTCAATTAGTTAGGACCTTAATCACATGTGATTAGTAGTTATTTGATTTATTTCATATATAAACAATCATAAAAACTTATATGTAATCATCTTACTTCACATATAAATTTTACAAATATAATTTCTCTAGTTCATATTGATACCAGTCACACCACTGCCCCGAGTATAACTACATTTTATTTGGTTTCAAAGTCAAGATTAAGAGAATGTGAAATAGATAAATTGGATAGGTTTTAAACCAAATTACAATAGATAAAAATAAATAAATATCCAATTCATTCATTTAAAATATATTATATTTTATTTTAAAAATTTATTTTTATAAATAAATTTTAATATATATGCACATTCAACTCTATAAAATTTATATATGACTTATCCTTTAAAGAGTTGTGTTTAATTAATAGGCTTTGGACTTTTTAATTTATTAGATTATAAAACATTATGGATGATCCATTATCTATATAATAATAAATGGTAATTCAATCCAGTTCATCCATCAATTTTTTTCTATTTGGAAGCTTGTCTTTTAGTTTTTGTTCCTTTCAATTGTTTTTTTATTTTTGAGTCTTTCTTTGTTTAACGTAAAATCCCTTGCATACAATTTGGTCTCAATATTTAAAAAATAAATACAAATTATGGCACGGCTTTGAATTTCACACAAGGAAATTAACAACTAACCCCCAAAAATGATCGTAAAAAGAAATTTGAAGGATTAAATATTAAAATGAGTTCTTAATATTTATAATTCGAAGGATTAAAAAGATTTTTTATTTCTTATTTCTTAAAAGGGAAGTGTTTGTAGCTTGATTTTTCTCATATTCAATTATACTAAGATATCCTATAGAAACAACTAGATTTACACACCCAACATTTTCTTTTTCCATTACTTGACAAGTCTACAAAGTTCTTGTCAGTAACTCTTGGCGGCATTATCATACTTTTATGTAGCCTGAAACCTTAATGAGGGAAAAACTACTTGGCTTGAAGCGATTCTCAAAACATGATCTCTCTTTTTCCATCAAAGATGGCTTTCAAGAGTACAAAATAAAATGAGGCCTTGGATAGGGGCCAAAATGCACCGCTTTCCTTGGAAAGGAATCAAATAAATTTCCATTTGAGTGATCTATGAGATATGGAAATTACTTTATTATTCACACAGGGTACAGTCTTGGCCTATGTTGAGCATTTTTTATTTATGATGCTATCCAACCTAGTTATATTTAAAAGCTCACAATCATTGTCTGTGCTATTTGGGGGAAAACATGCCATTCATTCAAGAATAGCTAGGAAAATTTAACTGGGGTGGGGAAGTGGAGTGTTATCTATTGCATTTAAAACTCAGCAGAGTCGATGAGAGAATTTAGCTAATTGAAACCAATACTTTAAGGGTATTACTTAAGAAATCAAAAATAAAACTTTATTAAAAAATATAAAAAATACCCTCACTCTTATTATTTTTAATAAAAAAGTTAATTATTAATTCATGAATTAGAACAATAGTAAGCGAGAATCAATCTTCCTCTGAAACAAAAGCACAAAATGAAATTGATCCCTCTCAAGTGAGTTGTTATTATTCATATCCTCCAAGAAGGAATCAAAAGGACCATCATACTGGGAAAGGAGCGGTACATGAAGGAATAAAGTGGTGACATGCCACAATGATGGCATTGCATCACTGGCATATATATTTGCCCTATCATTGCACTCTGTCCCTGTAAGAGTGTGTTTGTGTGTGCTTGTTTGTGTCACAATACAAGTAGGTTCTCTTTTCTGCATTGCTTAACTTTTCCAGCTTAAATTACGCAAGCACCAGCTTTTATTGAATGGCATCCCTGCTGGGTGGGGCATCTCCAACTTCATAATAATATATATGATTATAGGAACTTTTGCATTCTAGTATTAAACACAAAGGTCACATTCACATGCATGATCAGGGTACCATTCGAATCATCTAAAGAAGATAGTAGCCAAACTATGCGATATATATGAACACAATTTGGACTACTTAGAGGACCAAGGCGTGATTCCATAACTTACATAAAAATTGAATGCGTAAATTCTGTGCATACCCATGCAAAAATCAATAAGCAGCACAGGCAAGGACATCATTTAGGCAGTATCCCATGCTTTAAGCTTGAATTTAAGTATAATTATTAATTTATATTTAAAATATAACATCTTATTTTAAAAGAATACTAAAGCATACAAATACATATACAAGTAAACATCTTCTGTTATAAGCAGAATAAAAGTAACAATAATTTAGTATCTGATAGTTTTGGGCCTAAGTGCCCCATCCCCACAATGTATTATATCGCAGCTAAGGAAGTTTGTACTGGCATCAACCTGGCCACTGACATTCCTGGCCGTTTATCATTTTCTACCTCTTTCCAAGCTATAATATCTTCACTGACCCTCTCAGATTCGCTTAGCATTTTCGTGAAACGTTTACTTTGTTAAATCATTAATAATTGACACTGTACGAAAATACTTTAGTCTTCAAAAATATTTTTCCTGCATACTATTACTAAGCATTTTTGCATTTTCCAAAAATGGATAAAGTAAATCTAGTTAAATATTTGTACCCCAAGTTTCGTATCCTATTGAACCATTTAGATGGACCTACCTCGATTTATGTTACAAAAAAATACAGAAGTGGCTGTAATAGAACGTAAACCATATTTTGTACACTATATATAGATAGGGTCTACTAGATTTATTTGTCTTTCTTTCATATAACATGGCATTATTATGATAGTAGCAAGTGATATAAAAGATCCAAATCCAATTTTGATGGGTGCCCTTAAATGTTGGGATCTGTGTTTCTAATAACGGTGTATACATGAACCAATAATGGTGACACCATTGGCCATAAAGTTTAGCTTTAATTATGAAACAAATACCGCAAGCTTAGGCAAGATAGGCTTTAATTATGAAGCTATATATATTCATTGGCTAGTTCACAAGCTTTACTCTAGACATGAAACACCAATCCATGGTTGGGGGGTACTGATAGTGATGAAATAGTTGAGAAACATGATACCTCATCTGATTAGACCAGTTGTTAGAGCAACGTGTTGGCCAGAAGAAAACGCCTGTTACCCATGCCAAAAGGAAAAAGGGATGTGATTGGTCAGTCTTAGAAAGGGAAACTTGGAGGGAATTTGAACTTCAAAAATGGAATTGGATACACACAAGGATTGGGACAATTCATACACCATTATTATGTGTCATAAGCACATGCTAAAAGCACCATGTACTCGTTAATATCACTTGCCATCATTTCATATTGAATAGTGTTACATTTCTTATTATCATAATATTTTATCAAAAGAAGGAATTAAATACAATTAAATGTATTTAATATCGTAAAAAACATAAAATTATATTTAATATCTTGTTTATGTAATAAATAAAAATAATGTTAGAGGGAAATTAAGGTTGTTCTTTCAAATTTAGGAATTAATCGAGCTTTATTGCCTTTTGCTAACCACCAAACTCGTTATTGAAGGCAATGTACCCTTTAATAATTAGTATAAAGTATTTGGTAAGCAATTATTTTGGGAAATAATCTGTGTTTTTTAAGCAAATTATAAAGCTCTTTTTAATTTTTATGCATGTTATTTTTAATTTATGTTTAAAGGATTTTGTTGGCATTGTAAGCATTTAGAAATAGTATATTTTTATTTAAAAACACATTTTTTATTTGAAAAATATTTTTATTAAATATTTCTTTTTTAATAAATATTTATTACTTTTGGAGTGCTTAAACTCAGTTCTATGAGTTATGATTAACAATTTTCATATTTAAAAGACTTAAGTAAGGTTTTGGTTCTCAAAAATTCATGATTTTCTTATTTGATTTCTCACTTTTAATTATTTTTTTAAACAAGTTCCAATTTTTATTTTTATTTTATATGATTTCTCTATTAGTATTTTTTTTTTTTAAGTTATGTACCTAAGTAACCCATAACTTAACTCATAATATGACAAATAGTTGATGTACATGATGATTTGACATCCACATTTTCATTCTCTTTCATATTTTTAGATTTTAATTTCAAAATTTTTAAATTTATAAGCTAAAATTTTATTTGAAAAAACAAAAAATATAATGTTAATAATGACACTTCTCATTCATTTTATCTCTTAGTTCAACTATATAACTCAACTCAAATATTATTTAAACAAATAAGAAATTAACAAATTACTAATAGAGCCAAAATAAAAAATAATTACTTTTAATAGACTATATTGAAAAAAATTAAGGAGGGACTAAATGAGAAAATCACAAATTTTTAGATCAAAAATGCTATTTAAGTCTATTTAAAAACATTTTACCTTTATATAAAACTTTACAAAAAAAAAATTATTATTATAAATCAAGCTTGAAAAGCTGTTACCCCAAAATTTTAACAATGTTTTTTTTCTTTTTAAATTGGAGGGACAAATACAGAAACAAAAATGATTACATAATTCCAATCCATCGTTTCGTATTTAGGTAAGAGTAATAATTGTCTCAACGGCTAAAATTTAATTTTAATTTTAATTTGACATTATCTTTACTCAATAATGAATGCACATCATGTGCCATGTTTTTAATTTTTTGTGGACTGACATAGTACTATGAGGGTACATGAGATTTTCGCATTAACCCTTGTATCAGCAGGGTCAGTTTTATAAGTTCGGGAACTCGAATTAACCATTCTTTACACATTAATTAGTTCATTACATTCTTCACTGATAATGATTTCTCACCATGTAAAAACCATGGTGCACAAAATAATAATAATAATAATGGGAAGACTACGCACATGGTACACAAGGAGGAAAATATGAATTGGAAAATTTCTATAGCACATGCTGATGCTAAAAATCGTTTAACAACAATGGCAATGGATCAGGGCTGCAATATGTTAAAAAGCACAACCGATTTACAATATGATTAATTAATACAAATCAATGCTACCAATATTTCCTAGTAACAAAATCTTCTAATTGCTGGTTGTAACTTCCCTATGGCAATGTTGCAGCAGATCCACTTGGTGCAGCAGAAGCTCATAAATCTATGCACCATTCTTTGCAGTGTCAGCAAGGAGTGCATGACCATCTTCCACAACCTTACCATTTGCTTGAGTTCTCTGCCTCTGAACAAAGTGACAACCACCATGTCATGTCAAGATCATAGACAATGACATTACATAAAAAGAAGAGAGCAAAAAAGGACGAGTAGATAGATTCAGCATACCCAATCAGCAGGGTCACCAGAATTCCCATTCAATAACTTGTGGTTCTCTTCTTTGGTCCTGCCATCTTTGTCCTTGGTGCTCAATGGTAGCAGCAAGGTTGCAGCTGCACTTGTCCGGTCTGGCAATTCTGTGGAATAACTAAGTTAGCACAACACCAAATTCAAGTTCAATGTAAGTGGCAATAGCACATGTAATTATGTCCAAATGTGCAAACCTGGCAATTTCTTCTCAACAAAAAACACCACCAAATTAACAGTATACCTGCGAGGGATCAAAACATTCAATCAAAAAGGACATGGACCACACAATTTTAATATTAGAATTCAGAAAATGCTCCTCACCAGGCAACAACTACATCAACTGTATAATGTTTCCGAGATGCTATTATCAAGAGAGACTGACATACAGCAAGCAACCACCCTAGCTGCTTTATACACCTACAGAAGTTAATGAATAATCACAATAAGTTATAACTTATTATAGGAATGGCGAGTTAATGCGGTAAAATGCCTATGTAAAAGAAACTTGGGAGCCAATTTACCTTTTTGTGCCATATCTATGATATGTAAGAACAAAGACTAAAGTAAAGATCATGTGCGACGAAAATATCAGATCACCACATCCATATATCATGCCGTGGGGAACTGCAGCAAACAAAATCAAATGAGCACCAAAACAATGACAAAGGCATCTAAGATAAACAACTACAGTGCTATAGATACTTACAATTAATCAAGAGGACTTCTAGGAAACTTTCCGGACGAGGCAGTGTAGCAAGTTTAGATCCCTGCATAGCACATAACGTGGTGTTAAGTTAATAAATAACTAAATAAACTCGCACATAGTTTACACAAGATGTTTGTTTAAACAGCAGACATTCTCAAGTAAGCATACCTCACGGCAATGGTAGTTTGGACCAGGAAGCTGAGTAGCATAAAATGTCACTATGCGAAGAGCCTGGGAAGCCTGCAGTTAACAATTATAGATGAGCCAAACTTATCAGAAAGCTGTCATACATTGCATCCGTATTTAATAGGTTATTAAATCAACCTCAAAAATTGGAATGACCATGTATTCACTCCACTTATAAAGGAAGTGAAGGAACATATACAAGTCAATGATCATCACAAGGGTCATTTCCCAGATTATTTATATCTTTTCTCATGACTTAAATTGATCAACTTATTAAGCATTGAACATAATTTGCTTCCAAAACAATGGAAATTATCGATTTCTATATAAGATGCCTCATGGAATTAAATCTGTAAGACTCAGAACTAATAAAGGGTTAAAAATAATATGCAACGTATGATTGTCATGAAAAGTAGCATAAAGTAATCTGTCTTACTTTTACACAAATGCATGGAAGTTTCACTAGACTTGAGAGCTGAGATGCCAAATCATGACATTACTTTTTAATAATCAACATTACCCTTGTTGACATTAAGGATTGGATTTTATGTTGGCAATACACTATAATTGAACCTCTAACCCTAAGTACTCAAGTCACATGTTTAAATAGAGTTCTAAATGAATTAGACAATAATAAACGCATGATAAACACTTACAACTAAGAATGCTAGAACCCTGCACCATATTAGAGCCGTGTAGATCTTTTTGCTCTTGAATACGAAAGGATGAAATGTCCACTGTAAAAGCACATATTGCAGAACAAATCATTAAATTTAAAACTTCATGAAAACTGTGATACTTATTGAAGACACAGTGAAAAATAAAATACTGGCTACAGAGAGAAAGCAGAGAAAGGAGAGAATGATAAAGTATGGTCGAGAATTCTTACAAGGACAAAGGATAAAAAGATAAAGGTAAACAGTGTTTCACTAATGTAAGCTTTGTCTTGCCCAAGCTCCTGTAACAGCACCAAGATTGAAAATTCAAAAGGCAATGCTAGGTAAGACGGATTTTTCAAGAGAGGCAGAGAAAAGGGAATGACAATTACACACCGGAAGAAGTAAGAATCCAAGATCCTGTAGAGTAGGGCCAGGCCTATGTAAATAATGAACTCCTCGAGCAGCCAAACCATGTATATACTGTAAGGAAACAGTAATTTTGATTTAGATATGAAACCATAATATATAAATAAATAAATAAATAAAAGTATATAAAACTAATAATAAATTAATGTATTATACAATAATTCATCATGCATAACGTTAGACAAGGATATAAAGCTTAGAAATATGTATACAAAACTTTGTCATTCTTATTTCTATTCCTTTTCTCAAACTATATATATAATAAACAGTTGCCTTCAACAAGTATCTCCAAACTATTAAAGGTTTCTTTTCTTTCAATAAGAGAAATGAAACATTTGATCATGTGGGAAGCAGAGAGCTCCACATGGACTAATTTTGAGCAACCAGCATTTCATTTAGGAATCAATAATTGATCCAATTTTGAGCATGCATGGAATGCCAAATCCTTATAGTTGCAGTACATGACAAACAACGTTTGCACAGTTACCATTTCCTTGACTTTTCCCTCATTGAAATATCAAGATATCAAACTCTTGACACTAGATGATAATTGTTGACAGAATAGTATTTAGTTATTAAACTCAAAAGATTAGTATATTAAACCTGGTTTCTAATAAAGAAAGCAAGCAATCTTGACAAGCAACCACACCAACATGAAGAAAAACTTTTTGTAGCGTTCAAGTAAAGTTCCCACAACCACATGTGAGAACTAATTCAATCTATACTCCACAAGAAAGAAAAAAAAAAAGAACCTTTGCATCCTTTTTACAAAAAGGGTAGCCAGAACAAACCACAATTAAAATTACATAAGATTGATCAAAGTAAAAGGAGAAAGCAACCTGAAAAATAAGACCAGCGAGAAGGTACTTCCAATTCTCCCCAAGGAGGTTAATCTCTGTAGTTGTCTCTGCACAAATTCTCTTCCAAAGCTGCACATCAAAACATTTAAACAATGATTATAATTAACAATTTTGAGAGGGAAAAAGGAAACCATTTCCAGATGAATAACAAGTTGTACTGAATATCAAAAACTGTCCAAAAGAACAAAAACAACCAACCTTGGAAGCCTCGCGACGAATGTAAAGCGACATGTTCTTCTTGTTTGTGATGTTGTTGTTGTTGTTTTTGTTATGTTGTTGATGCTGTTGTAACCGTGTAACGACCACTTCCATATTACTTCATAACGACACTATTAAGGTCAACATCATTGCCCTCCAAAAACACACCAACAATCGCATCAGAACCCAGATAGGAATCAATCCTTTTTCCACACTGCCACTACGAAAAACCGAATTTTCCTTAGAAAAACACAACCACCAGGCAGAATCGAGAGACAAACACAACCGGGGCTTCAAAAATCCGATTCAAAAGCACAGAAGAAACGAAGAGGATCTGAGAGAAGAACCGAAACCCAGAAAGGAGGAGATCGAGAGAACCCAAATGATGATCCCAAATTGCCCAGTTCCCAGAAAATTAAAATTAAAGGGGTTCTCTGAAATGGAACGAGAATTACAATGGTGAAAATGGGTGTTTGGGCTCCGCTTTCTCTCTCTCTCTCTCTCTCTGTGCTTTCTTTCTCTTCCCTTTCTCGCTTGGTCTGACTGCAATGCACACGCGAGTTGAACACGGAGAAGACGGTTGAGAAGAGGAAGAGAATGAAGAATATATATATATATATATATATATATATATATATTTATTTATTTATTTATATTAAGGAAGTTTCTTTTTTTATATCCACATTTTGAAATTTTCTCTCGTTAAAAAAGAAGGGTTGATTTTTCTATTATGAGATTTTGAATAGGAAAACGAAAAAGAAGGGAAGATGATGAAGAGTGAGAAAGGTACATTGAAATAGATAGACTAGATTTAGATACATGCTTTGACGCCACCAACACACGTTGTCCCTCTTACTTTCTCTCTCCTGTTGTGGAGCGTGCTGTTACTAGGAAAGTGAGAGACAAGGACAAACAAAACCTTAATAAAGTTAATAGAATCTTCCAGTATTGAAAATTAGTATTAGTAAAAATAAATTATTTAAAAAAATGATCTTAAATTGTTTTTTATTATTATTCTTTGTTTGAAAATTAGGAAAAATGATTATTTTGGTGGCTAATAGCAACAAAGATTTTAGTAGAAGGAAGAAAAAAAGAAAAGGGTGGCTATGGATCATTTCGGATCCCCCGGCTTCGGCCTGCTAATTTCATGATAGTTTGCGCAGTGATTTTCCCTTTTCTGAACCAGACATGCTTTAATTTTTGTATTTATTATATAAATTGTGTAACTCTTTTTTTACCTGATCTTTTAAGCTCTCGTAAGTAGTTAGTAGGGTATGTAAGCTACAGTTATTTTATTTCAAATTTTGTTAGTTTTTCATTAATAACTATAAAATATTTTTTGTACGAAAATTTATTCAAAAGAACTACAATAAATACTTTTATTACGACTTTTTTAAAGGAAAAAGATATAATGAATTAATTAATTAATAGAAACAGGAAACTACAACTGGAAGAAATTTACAATTTTTAAAAATTTATATTATATAATTTATGTATAATGTATGCATTTTAGATTTGTATAGTAATAAATTTATTATACACCATACACATGTTTTTTAAAAAATTTAAATAAAAAATAAAATTATAATATATTTCCTTTTAATTTTTGTTTGCACAAATGCCTTTTCTAAGTTTAATAAATCGTGTAATTTAAAAAAAAAGCTTTTATTACAATAAGTTAAAAATTTAAGATTTTTAAAATTAAAAAAATAAACCAAAATTGAATAAAACACTGAATATTAAATGTAGGATAAATTATGTAGTGTAGTTAAAAAGAGAGCAATACTTAATTAAAAGTGCTTTTGTTGAATACTATTACATGTCAACTTTTATACAAATTTGAGAGTCAAATTTTTTATTTTTTATTTATAATGAACAGGGCTTAAAAATTTAAGACAGAAACAACCAAACCTAACAAACTAATATGGGGAAACAAATTGCACAATCATCCTCAGTAAGGAGAAAAACTACCGAAAGAGGAAGGAAAATAATCAACAAATTATATTTGAAATATTATAAGTCTAGTTAACAAGAAAATCAACATAATAATTAGTCTCTTTATAAACATAATAGAGACTAATAATTTTAAGGGACTGAATTTAATCTCTAATTTTCCTAATAATTGGAAAAAATCTACAGTACAAGAAATATCATAACTAATCATATGAATGGCTATTTTTGAATTTATTTCTACAATTATGTCCTTTAATTCAAGCTTTTATGCAAGATAAAGGCTAGAAAAAATAGCCTACAATTCAAAGGCAGAACAAATATTTACTTTGTACTTGCCAATTTGAGGAGGAAACCAGGCAATCAAAGTTCCTCCTATTTGCAAGTACTATTAGGAAAGGAGAAATAAAAACCAATCTCAAACTTAATGGATTTCACATAATTATGAGATTTAAAGATAATATCATTCTAATTAAGACTTCTATTATTGAAAATCTAGTCATATCTATTTCTCTAAATAAATCAAGTAGTAACAACAAACAGATTATTCTAATTAGTTAAAATATTAGAAAACTAATTAGTTAAATTGAAATAAAGCCACTTACGTTAATTAAGAATGAATTAGTTAAATTGAAATAAAGCCACTTACGTTAATAAAAAAATAAAATATTAAGAATGAATTAGTTAAATTGAAATAAAACTACTTACGTTAATTAAAAAAAATAAAGCTACTTACCTAAACCAATACTTAAGAAATAATATCAGATTTTTCAAGGATCAAATTATTCCAGATTTTTGCAGAAAAAAAAATCGGAAAGAACATGTATAATAGTTTTCGGGAGCTGAACAACATCTTCTATAAATATTAGAAGTTGAAAAACCTCTTTTAAAGGTAGATTTTCAAAGTAACGTCTTAATTTTTGGAGAGTCTTGCCAATTCTATACTGTAGAAAATAAACCAAACTTACCATATGCTAAAGAAGTAGGTTCTAGAAATTAGATAGCAGGGAGTTTTGAGGGAAAAAGTTCCATTAGGAGTAGGATACTAATTAATCAAATTAGGACCATCAAACAAATTAGGAGGAATTAAATTTTCAATGATAAATTTTGTTTATTCTAAAATAAATATATTTTACTTATTTTATAGTATTTTAAAGTAAAAAATATAAATAATATACTAATATAAAATTAATATATTAATTATTTATTCATTAATATAAATTATATATAATTATTTTAATTTAAAAATAAAAATAATTACCTTTTTTTTTCTCTTCAAACAACTCTTAAATTTAAGAGTTGAAGAAAAGGAGAAAATTTAATTTAAAAAAGAAGGAAAGACAAAGAGAAGGAGAATTAATAAAAAATAATAATTCAAAAGAATTTAAAAATATTTTACAAAAATTTTATAAATTTTTTTTATATTTAAAAATTTTCAAATAAAAATTACTAACGAATGAATTTTTCTCTTCCCTACTTTCTCCTTAAAATTATTTCTAAAACAAAGAGTAAGATTCTAAACAAATTGTCAACAGTGTTAACTTACTAATTCTCCTTACTTCATCAAATGTTGGTAATCGTACTTTCCCATGATTAAGTAATCTATAGCTTAAAAAATTCAATTAAAGTCGCTCTTTCTTGTAGAGAGATAGCATTATAAATAGGTTTGTGTATACTCATTTTGTTTGACAACCTTTGCCAAATAAGAAGAATAAGGGATATAACAATTTTTTTTATCATATGAAGTTTATGTAATAAATTTAAATATAAAATTTATTAAAAACAAATTTAATTTGGTAGTGTAATAAAATTAAAACCAAACAGAAATTAAGGTAAAGTCACCTTGTCCAAACCCACATCATGCAAGACGAAGTTTGGAGGGTTGGCCCAAACAGTATAAGGCGCGCTAGATAAAGCCCCCCAACTAGCTAAGCAGTGTGCTACTCTATTCAGCTCTCGAGGAATATGCAAGATATATAGTGTCCAACTCCTTCCCATCAACTCCCGCAATCTAGATATGACATCAGCATGAACATGCCACTTTGAAGGACCCCAGTTAGGTGACAAAGCTGTTGTCACTGTGCCCCGATAATCTGACTCACAGATCACAAATCGGTTGAAAGACCTTCTACCATAGCCAATAATTCAGCCCTTAGAAGGTTACCTTCCCTAAATGAATTTGTAAAGCCACACCTCCATTTTCCAGTACTATCTCTGATGACACCACTAGTACCCATCATATTGTTTCATGGCAACCAACTACCATCTACTGTAACCTTAACATAAGAGTAATCTGAAGGCCGCAAATCACATCTGTCTTTCAAGGCTTATTTTGTTTTTGAATCTTGAGGTTATCAGATGCGTCCATAATAATGTTCCATATCACATAATGGGAAGTTCATGCTATACCACCCAAAACAGTAGTGTTGGGTCGTCTCCAAACCCACTAAGCCATCATGGCCAGGCGTGCCACAAGCTTATACAGAATAATCGAATGCCACCATAAGGAAGCATTAGCTTCTGTAAAAAATCCTTCGCATTTCATGTGACTCCAAAGATGCTTGCAAATCATTTAGAGTCATTGTGTTGAGATCTTTTACTTCATCAATGGTGGCAACCATGTAATCAAAACGAGTTGATAACGTGTGCAAAATTTTCTCCATGATTTCTTTCTCCTGTATGTCATCGTCGTCGTTGTTTTTTATTTCATTAACAAGTTTGTCCATTCGTGAGAAATAGTTATGAATGTTTTCTTCTCTTCCTTGCTCCATTAGCTCGAACTGGCATTTTAAGCCTTGCAACTTTGTTCATTTGACTGGATTAGCACTTTCATATGTTTTGAGCAAAATTTTCCAAACCTCTTTTGCTGTTTTACCATAGAAAATTTTCTCAAGAACATGCAGCTCCACAGATTGACAAATCAAGAATAAAGCCTTTTCATTAAATAGACGATTTTTATCTACTTGTTGAATATCAACTTTTCCTTTATGTCCTTCAGTTAGTTCAGTAAAACCATCTTTGATAATTTCACCATAACCACTGCTTTTTAAACATAGCTCCATCAATCATTTTCACATGGCAAAATTTGATTTGCCATCAAACTTGAAGATAGTTGTTTGTACTTGTTGATCTTGATTTGCTCCCATGCTTGAACTTGCTGCCATTTCGATACAACAAGCTCTGATACTAGATGTTGGCAATTAAAAATAAAATTACCTTGTTAAAATTTATATGCTATGAGAAGAAAATATAAATATTCAAAGAACAAAATTTTAATCTCACAAAATATTTGTATTGAAAGAATAAATAATACACTCAAAATTTTGGCTTGTTGATAGCCAAATTTTGCAAAACACACAACACTCAAGTATATAACTCGTTGAAGTTCTTCTCTCTCTATTTTTTTTATGCTCCCTCTAGTACACAAATAGCTTACTAGCTTTTCCTATTTATAATACAATGATTAGGTTGTCAGCTTCCTAATAGTATGTGTCCAGCTTGCAATCCTATGCAATTTACCACCTCTAATACAACTAGTGATTTAACTTTTCAAAGCAATTTTTGTAGGCTAATTATACAGCTAGTAGATTGACATATTAAGTGGTTATAAACACAACTCATGTATAAATATAATCTAACGTAATGCAACCAGCAAATTTACCTATTCAAAGTAATAATTATTAGATTACTTTAATACTAGAAACTAATAAAATACAACTCATTCATCAGAAGTAAGTTGTAATTTTTGACTCCTTAAGACAAAGCTAAAATCCAGCACCTTCTAACAAATCGAAAGTGGTCAAGTTTATTTTACAATTGATTATAATTTCCTATTTTTGGGCTTCACAATCATTCACTCCCCATGGATGGGAGTCGTCTCCGAGATATGCGATATGCAGTTACTTGCCACATGTCCATAGCATCCACATAGAGCACACAAGATATGGAGTCCCTCATACTCAACCTTGTATCAAACGTCATTCAGACAGAATTTTCCCATCACTGGTTTATCTAAATCTATCTCAACACAAACCCGGGCAAATCTCCCATGAGTCATGTTCAGGGTATTCACATCAACCTTGATAGGTTTGCCTAGGGCAGAGGCAATAGTGAGAAGAACACTCTGGTCATAAAACATGAGTCCCAAACTCGAAAACCGTACCCAAGCTAAGGTACTGTCCACTCGAGCTTCAGAGGCTACGAATTTCGGAGTCCATGGTCTGACGATCAGGTAGTAATCGAAGATCATCCAGAGACCACCTTGCAATACCTGTTCTTTGTCAGCGTCCTCATCAAATTGCACCATATAGTAGCCATGTGAAATATCCATGAGCTCAAACCCCTCTTGTGGCTTCCAAATATTCCGTAACTTCTCTTTCATCATGAGAAAACCAATATTACGCCCAAGTAATTTAAACACCAAACATTTTCTCCATGGTTGAGACAGGTCTTCAAAAGTCTTTGGGGTGATATGAAACTTAGGGAGAAGGCGGTCTCCACCTTCAAGCTCCAGTGACATAACCCCCTCCTTAAGAAGATCACGAGTTGGCTTATGTTTCGAGGGAGCATCCGCCACTTTTTTCTTAAAAGACCATCGTGGTTTGAATGAATTTGTGTCAGGAGGTTTTAGCGGAATCTCCATGCTTCTTGGCTACGCTCTCCCAGAGATAGCATTCTCCATGATTTGTGTGTTGACGAAAATCAATAAATAATTTTTTTAATAAATTATACTAAAATAATTTATTAAAATTGATTAAAAATTTAAAACTTTTAATTTTTTTATAATCCCTTTTAAATGTTTTTAATTACATAACAATATTTTATTTTCTACCTCAATTTCATGTTTAGAGTGTGTTTGCATTAAATACTTGTTTAATAAATTTTTATTAATAACTTATATCTTAAATTTAATGATCAAATTTATTGGGATATACTAAAATATTTATTATAATAAAATATAAAAATTCATTAAAATAAATTAAAATTAACTTATAAAAATCACGTTATTTTTTCTTAGCTGTTAATAAGTTATTTCAAACATAGCCTTAATATTTGAGCAACATTTAGATTAAACTCATTTACTTTATAAAATACCGTTAATGTTTTATGATACATAACTATAGTTTGCTTAACCAATTTCAACTTTTTTTATCAGCAAAATATGTTTTTTAATAAAGAGTACACAGGGTAAGCTAATCCTTAGAACAATACATATATACCACTTTAAGATGTAAAATAAGACCCTAAAAATTGCATAAAATTAAATTAATACACTGTCGAGAGAAAGGATGAATGCCCAATGTTTTAGGCCAACCAAGGCCAAAATCTAATTTTGTTAATATCCATAATTCCCATTATGTCCGGTAGCTCTTCATTAAAGACAATGCCATTTATCTCATTTCAAATAGTCCAAATTACTTTAATCTAAATAAGAATTAAACCTTTTTACTGTGTTTAAATTTTAATAACATTTGTGCCACAAAAATGCCTCCCGTGTTCCATAAAAAGGGAATCATTAAAATCTAACTAGGCATAAGGGTTGCACCATTAAACTAATTTCGTTTTATTTGGAAATGTTAAAAAATAAAAAATTTTAAAATGATTATTTTTGTGGAATTTGAAAGTGGGTTAGTGACTGAGAGATACAGGTAGGCCACGTGGTCAAAGACGCTCTGCCGTTGCAAGTTGGAATGTGTGGCTTCTTTTACGCATGTCGTTTTGCCAGCCCATAGGGGAAATCTAACGGTCCACCGAGACCGCAATCAAATTCGGACAATATTTGAATGAGAAAATAATCATAAGAATTTCAGTAGATTGGTCATTAATAAAAGGATGCTTGTAAAATTGTCCTCCACACAAAAACAAAAGATTCAAAAACCTGTATTGGAAATTAAATTCATTTGTTTACCTTTATATTTGAGATTTTGGATTTAATATTGACTGAGAGAGAGAGAGAGAGAGATTGTTGATTGTTTATGGAAATTTAATTGGCCATTAAGCGTCAATTGACTGAAAAATAGCCAGGTTGAGATATACATCTTATTCATGGAGGGTAGGTAAGAATACGTACCAAATTAGAGTGCATTTTGCTTAAATATTGTTGTTGTGTGTAAGTAAGTATTAGAAAATAATTTTGAACATTAAATAATATATTAATTGGATTGTGTATTTGAGTAATTCGACTTACTCTTAAAATTCAATGCATGAACCAATTACATTGAGGATGTTGAATTGAATTTCTTGAATTGTAAAATATATCGATACCTGCTTACACTCCTAGTTTTTAGTCGAGTTGTGAAGGATTATTGTAAAAAAAATGAGAATTAATTGATGTGATATTCTGAAGTTGGTCGATAGGTATATACTATTCTCATAATTTTAGTTCACTAAAAGTTATTGGCCTCGTGTTGTCTACATGATCACTACATTATAAAAAAATTGTAATCATCCTTTTTAATACCAATAAAAGTAATGAATTAATATAGAAAATAGTTGATTAATAGTGAAGCTTTTATATATTTACCAAATCGAAACAGTACAAGTAGTCAATGCTCAATCAAACATATTTTTAAGTCTTTACTTTACCTTATCACAATTTATTAATTGCTTTATGTTTTAGTTTAACTATATCTTGTATGTGAGTCAACACCTAACCTTTTTCATATTGTAAAGTGACTATTTTGTCACTACTTATTTTAGGTACCTTTTGAAGTTGTCTTGAAACTCAATTGTCCGAAAATTAAGTTTCTATCTATTAATGAATAATTATATGAAAATTATTTTTACTTATTTTGTACACTTTAATTAATTAAACTGTTATTTTAGTTACCTGTTGTATTATATATATGGAATAATTCTCATATGATTAGATAATCTAATCACATGAAAAAATGTGATTAGATCAATATATAAGCAATAAATAACTGAAATAACAATTTAACTAACTAAAATAGGTGCAATCACCTAACAAGGAGAATATTAATTGGATTAGCGCCCCAATTAACTACAAGGGTTGAACAAATCGTTTCAGCAAAAGCATGGAGAATAAATAAAGCATGCTAACAATAACCCTGCGATGTTGAGGCAAGTTTTTGCAAATAAATTAAAATAAAATGCTATATATCTCATTTATTTCAGCATTTTTTTTATGAACGATTATTTTAATTAAAAAATATATTTTTTAATGCGTATATTTAATGTTCAAAAGATTAAAAAATCAATTTTTTATTATAATTATATTTTAAAATAAGAAGTATTCTGACTATCACACCAAAATAAAAATAACACTTTTTTTTTAATAAAATTAGAAAAAATACACAAGAAGTTAAAGACATGATTAAATATACAGATAGTTTTACATGCGAAGCAAGAAGATTTTGTATAACAATGATAATATTTTTTTTCTTACTTTTTTTCTTATATTCTATATAAATTTATAATTTACCTTTTTATTATATTATTCGTTACATCTTTATTTTTTTATTTTATTCTTCTTAAATCTATTTCACACCTGACAAACGGCTATGAAAATATTAGATTTAATTATATTTTTTTTCGCTTTAATTTGACATATATATGATTTTGATCCCTTTAATTTATTTTGAGTCAATTAAATCCTTCTAATTTTAAAATTATGTAAATTTAATTCTTTTATTATTTTTTTTCAACTTAAAACATTCAAATTTTTATGTTTTACTCAAAAATTTAATGAATTGAATTACAGTTAAACTATTTTAAATTCTCTTTTCTTTAAAACACACCAATCTAAACATCAAATTTTGATCAAAATAAAAGAAATGATATCTTTTTTCTTTTCAAATCATAATCTTACATCTAAAAAAAACTTCGAATTTTATCACAATTTTGCTAATATTTCTGTTTTTAATATTAAAATTATTTTATATAATATTTGTTCATCAATCTCTTAGTTATTTAGAAAAAATTAAATTTTAATATTTTTAAATAGAATAAAATTAATAAAGGAAACAAATTTACATTATTTTAAAAATAAAGATATTTAATTGACTAAAAAGATTAAAAGTCAAAATTATTGAACCTAGACCAAGTTAAAAGACAAAAAATATATATAAAAGAAATGTTAGCAAAACTCGGCACTCTGGTGGATATATTCTTCAATACATCATGGTGATTAGTTAGTATTTTAAGATTTTAAAATATTTGACTCATAAATAAATTGTTTTTTAAAAATTATTTTAAATTAAAAAACTTTTCACAACTTAAAATATATATATTTTAAAAATTCCTTTTAACATTCCTTAAAATAAAATAAAATTAATGTGCCTTAAAAATTAAGAAAATATTCTACATTTTTTAATGATTATTATAGTTAATTTTATATTAATTAATAATTAACTTTAAAATTATGAATACTGTAATATCATAAAATAAAGAGTTTTGTTAACTTTAGTTTTTAGAGTTAAAAATAAATAATTAATAATAATAAAATTTAAATAAAAAATATTTATTATATTTTTATAATTTTAATATAAAAATTATTTATAAATATTTAAAAGGATTGAAGTTAATAAAATTTTAAAATAAAAAATAAAATAGTAGAATAGAAATAAAAAAACATGCTCATTTATTTTTTAATGTTTTTTAAAGAACAAATTCTTAAAATAATGTTTTTTAAAAATATATTTCCTGTATAGGATCTTTTTGACACGTCAAAACCTGTTTCACATACTGTTTTGATTAAATATTTTTTTTTAAAATGCTATTTTATCTTCAACAGAAACGAAACTATCATACTGTACCATGTGTCATCATTTGGTGAGTTTCACTTAGTGTAGAGATGAAACTCACAGAATTGTGTCATGTGTCATGATCTGGATCAATTTACAAAAATGGTTAAAAAAAAGAAAAAATTTATATTCTAATATTATATTAAAATTTATTAAAAATAAAAAATTATAAAATTTAAGAATAAAAAAATTATATAATTTTTAATTAAATTAATTAATGACTACAAATATATTAAAAATGTATATTGAAATTACACTATATATACTATATGACGTTAAAAAGAATACATGCTAATAAAATTATAAATTTAAAAGTAATTATTTTAAAGTGTGAGTTATATTTTTTTTTTCTTTTTTCAAACTAGTTTGTAAGTTAGGTGTGATATTTAAAAATTTTAATAATTTATATAATAAATATATATTTTTTATAATTTTTTATGGGTATTTAAACTAAGATTAACAAATTCTTAACACTATATTTTTTTAATATATTTATAATTATTAATTAATTTAATTTAAAATTATCTAAATTTAAATAATTTATTCTTAAATTAAAGATTATGAATTTTTTATTTTTAATATATTTTAATTAAATATTCAATTTTATTTTTTTAATTAAATATGTTTCGTCGAGACAATGGATGAATGACGTGACAAAAAAGACTCTGGATAGAAAATATATTTTTAAAAATTACTATTTTAAGAATTTATTTTTTAAAAAATATTAAAATAATAAATCAGTCCCATTGATATAATTATAAATATATTTAATTTAAGAAAAGAATAAATATAAAAATAATAAAAACATATATTTATCATATAAATTATTAAGATTTTTAAATATCACACCTAACTTACAAAATTAGTTTGAAAAAAA